CTCAATTTGGTGTGCTTCAACATCGGCAGTCGGACACCAGTCCGACTTTCCTTCTGGTTTCCCTTGAAGCCGAGGTGAGAAACAGACGCTAAACAAAAAGATACGTGGTGCCCACATGGATTCTGTCTGGGCGGCGATCGATTGCGAGGGGTCGCGAGGTTCTTCTCGCCCTCCTGTGGGTCCTGCAAGCGCTTGGCCCCCGTCTACGAGTCGGCGGCGCGGAAGGCGGGGGACGGCTTCACCTTCGCCAAGGTGGCGACTTGGCATCGCTGGATGCATCGAAAACGGGGGGGGGGGGAATAGTAGAAAGGGGGTGTGTGGGGCAGGGTTTTTTCAAGTTAGGGCTTCAGGGCACAGGGTTCATTTTCAACAAGCAAACCATTTTGTTCAAAACACCAAGGGGGATTTTGGGTGAACATTTTTTACATTTTTTTCATTTAATAACAGTCTAACATTTTGACATTTTCAAGGTTCAGGTTTCAGACCATTTTAAGGCTTTCTGGGGGATACAAGTGTTTAATCATATTATAAGTTGTTAATATGAAAAAGCTGAACACATATTGCTTAGGGTTTACATTTACTAAAATTCAGCATAAATACCAATGTTTTCACCAATATAATTCCACCACTGTTCTATTTTTCTTGACCAACCTAATACTGTTTCTTTGTCAATATGTTTGTTTCTTCTCTTATGCTTCTCATAATTAAACTTAATGATTGCTTGAAGAATTAGAAAATTTGTTCTCCTAAAAAGGAATTTCATATCTTCAAGTTTTTTTACAACCTGTGAATGTTATACTGTTTAACTCTGCTCCATATTCAATTACTTTTCCTTCTTTATATAGTTCATTGTAAGTCTTCATTAACAAATTGCGATTATAACATTGTATTAATGGCTTTTCTGGATAACCTAATTCTTTCATTGTTTCAATTGCATCATTCATTTCTTTAAAAGATGGATAAGGATTTAACTTAATGAACCTTTTAACTTCATCACTTTCTCTTTGTCTTTTCTCCATCAACTTCTCTACATTTTCTGTGGTTAATACTGTCATACCTTCCATTGCTCTTAATATATTAAGGCTTCATTTCTTTAAGTATATATTTGACTTTAAGGTAGTTTAATCATATTATAAGATAATAATATTAATAGACAGCAGTTAATTGTCCCGTATTCAATCTCACCAGCGATACAACCACTATAACAACTCATGCTATACTCACAACAATAATGTTCATAACCTTTTATTCATTGGTCAGTGTAAATTTCAATCAAATCGCTAAGAATATGTCTCATGTAATAATTGTTATTTCTATATGACCACCAGCTGTGTAGGTTAGGAAAGTTAAAATCGTTATTTTTCATAAATGATAATTGTTCAATTTTAATACATTTTCGTAAAATTAGACTAACTTCGTGGCTGTTATTTTTACAGTATGATTTCATTGCTTGATAATACATTTTCCTACTTTTTAACCTTTCTTTTACTCCTAATTTATCAGATATGTTATCAATCTTTCTTCTATACTGCTTGTCATCATAATGTTGTCCAGTCATTTGTGTAATGTAGTTATTAAACGACTGTTTGAAAGAAACAATAATTGTAATTCTGCTTTCTCCAACCCTTCTTCTGGTAAATCTCTATCTTTCATAAAATCCATTTCTTTTAATTTTAAGCAACGACATTTAAAGCAATCCATTTTACTATAACCATCAATAATATTACACACGTTAACAGGCAAAATGTTTGCTAATGCCACCACGTTTTCACACCTTAAATTTTTACAATGACAATTGCTATAATTAAACAGTGTCATTTTCTCTTAATATATTAAGGGGTCATTTCTTTAAGTATTTTTAGTTTTTGCAGGGTTGGTATTTTGGTTTTCAGTTTCATCATTTGCACTTTCAGCATCAGTAGGAATAGGCATATCGGATGGGGGACTTTGTCCCTCATTCGATGGGGGGCTTTGCCTCCCACCGGTCGGAGGTGCTATTTCATAATTAGGATTTTCTTCTGAGGATGATGAATTAACAGTATGTGTTGAAGAACTATTATCAGTGATAGGTGGAGAACTATGAACACTAACAGGGGGCGAAGTGTTTAACTCAACTTCTTCACTAACATTTGTATTTAACCAATTCATTATTGCAGTTGCTATATCATAAGACGATACTAATGAATTCATTGTCAGATTAACTAATAACTCTGAAATTTGAATTGTGGTTATTGTAGTGTGATATGTTAAATGTGCTACTATTTGTCCTATACTAAAACCTGACCTCAACATAAACTCTATACTCCTCATCAACATAAATAATTTCTTTCTATATTTATCAATATCATCATCTTTTTTTTTATCATCATCATCATCATCGTCATCATCATATAAATCAGGGTCATATGTAAATGCTAATGCTTCTGCTTCAGCCTTGGTTATCAATTTGCTTTTGAAGCTCTTTGAAGACCCACCTAATATATTTTTTTTTTTTTTTTTTTTTTTTTATCTCATCATCAAAATTATAAGTTTGTGTCGCTTTATCATTTGGAAGGTCTGTTTGTGTTGCCTTGTTTTCTTTGTTAAGCGTTTGTGTTGCCTTATCTGCCATCATAACTTCTGCATTCATATATCTTTCTTTATTTTTATAATTCATCAAATCCATTTTATCAAAATCAAAATAATTCAATACCATATCTTTCTTTTATTTCTTCAGTATAACTGTTGTTTTCATTTTGCTTGTGATTGCTTGTTTAAGCATTTCATCATAAGTAGGGCGCTTCCTTAACTCGTGTTTGTGGTTGTTAATCATTCTATAGAATTATTGATAAATTATATGAATGATTTATTGAATCCTTTGATGCTTTACCTTTTCCTTTCATGCCTCTCCAATCTTCCATTCTTTTTCTTAGCAATTCATCATTTACTTTCGTCGTCCATTTTCCGTTGTTTAAAAGTTTCCCCACCAGTCCAACTAAATAAGTTCTACCGGTTTCCTTTTTACCTTTACCTTTTTTCTTTGTGTTTGAATATTGTTGTTCCTGCTCTTCAGTAAGTCCTGCTCCTCTTAAATGTAATTGAAATAATATGTCTTCTTCTTTTACAGTGCTTCCTTTCCAATGGTTTATATCAGTTGAATAGTCAATGGTTTCCTTATGTGTTCTTGTTTGTCTTTGTGGGACTGTGGATGAACTGTCAGCGTTGTCCATTGTTTGCTCTCTCTTCTCGGTTCTTTTCTGTTGCAAAGTTTCTTCTCTTACAATACGCCCCTTGAATGCCGCCTGTAGTCGTTTAGCCGCTTCATCTTCTGTCATAATTGGTTCTAACGGTGGTAAGTCATCATCGCTTGATTTAGCAGTTGCCATTGATTGAACCTCTGATGGAGTATCATATTTTGTTCTTCTCCAATCTGTGGCTACACGTGCCCTTTCGTGTAAATCATCTAAAAACTGTCGTCTAACATCTTCTGACATTTGACTAATTTGTTGTTCGTGCTGTTCCTCAGCATCGTCCATTGTGGCACTTAGTGTTTGTATTGCTCCGTCTCTTAAATCATCCATTTCATCGTCCTTTGCCATATCAAACTGTTCAATGGTTTTAGGATGTTCTAACATTTTTTGAAAATGTTGTTGTCTCAAATCTACTGTATTATTATCATAAACTGTTCCTAATGGACTGTCGCGAAAATAATAGGCGTTTCTGTTTATTACATCTCTGATATTCTTATTTTTATATTCTCCCTTTGTAATTTCCTTGATGAGTTCATTATAAGACGGTCTTAATCTTAATTGTGATTTTAGAGTTTTCATCTGTGTATTGTCTAATCTCATTATTATATGAAAATAATTAGATAATAAATTTGTTAGATTAATTTAATAAACATTAATCTAATAAATTTACTAATTTTCATAAATCAAATTAGCAAAATCTATTAATATAATTAATTTATTCAAAGTCAAATCCTTTCTTAATTGATTGATTATTCCTTTCTTCTTCTTAATGATTTCTAAATAGGATTTACCTGCTTCACTTGATGGATGATGTCTCAATTTTTCACCTTCTAACCTTTGAATTTCATTAAAATACGCCTGTGCTTCATCCATATATCTTCTTTATTTTGAAATACAGCATAATCTTTTTTAGCGCTATGATATTCTAATTCTTCTTGTAATTCTTTCAAGTATGTAGAATTAGGTTGATGTGCCTTGTTGCCTCCTTCATAGTAGTAATGTTGAGTTGATTTATATTTACTCTTCTTTTTTTGTTTGTTTGTTTCAAAAACTGCTTTTCTATCAATAACATCACTGATATGCGGTTTATCTTTAGTTTGCGGTTGTGTTATTCTCTTTACAACATTGTCATAAATTTCTCTACGACGCATAAGCAATTGTTTCTTATCAATAATCATTATATAACAATACTTAGATTAAATAATTTTCCTTGCTTTTTTTTTTTTTTAAATATATATTTTTCTTATCTCGTTCCATTTTCATATTATTATATCTATCTTTTGCGGTTTCAAACACTTTATTAGCAGTTATGTCTAAATGTTTTTTTAGCCTTTCTTCTACTTTTTCGTGAACACGCTTTTCTATTTCTTGTTCATCCACTTTTGGAATGTCGCTTCTTACCCTGTTATAAACATCTTCTTTGAATTCTTCTGCTTGGACTGGATTGATGACCTTTTTTCTCATTGGTTTGTTTAAATCTATAACTTTGTTAGTGCCCTTCTTCACTCCACGACAAGCGTGTTTATATTGAAAGTTGCAAGCAGTCATTAAAGTTCCACAAGAAGGACAGTTCATTTTCTCCTTCATTTGTTTTTCAACTACTGTCCGCTCCGTGTAAATCTATGGTTTTTCCATAAGCGTCAACATATTTAAAATGTAAGCGTCTTAAATGTCTCATTGAAACATCACTAGCGTCATTCATTAAAATCTCATTATCATAGATTACATTACCAAACCCTGCGGTTATTGGAATTTTCTTCAATACACGAG